AGGCTTCAGTAGACTTCAGAAGGCCCCTGCTTCATACATTACTCCTTCTTTCTCTTCTGCCTCATCTATATATTTTTTCCTAAGATGTCTTAATGTTTTTCTTCTGTTTTTTGTTGGCTCTTTGGTCTTTGTTGCCGACAGTTGTATTCGTTGTCGATCACAGTGTTGGGCACCTTCAAAGGTAAATACTCCTGGTTTAATATCCAGGTCCTCAAAGATCTTCAAAAAAGAAATGTCCCCATCATTGAACTTCAAGACTGCCAAATATGTTGCAAGTGCAACAGTGGGCTGTTCGACATAGGTGGTCTTTGGACATCGATCCCAAATCAGCCCATTCAAACATTCGTTAACATTTTGGGTTAAACCATGTGTACATTTCTGAAGCAGATCAGAGTTGCTCAACTTTTCAAAAACTGGCACAATCTCATCAACAATGCACTGAGGTATGTCATTCTTGTGTTGATAAGACTCTTTCTCTCGCTTGTAGCCGCACCAACTGTCATCACCATGGGGACAAAGATCATGCTGTGAATTTGACTCGGTTGAAGCGACATGAAATAATGTTGCTTTAATTGCAGTTGGCCATTTTGTCAACATCATCCAAGTTGCTCCTTACTGCAAGACCATAATAATTTTGCAAAATGTCAATTTTCCCATCAGTTAGTCTTCCTTTACCTCCAATTCCTTTGCCGTCACTCAATTTCACACCTTTTTTGTGTTCTTTAACTTCCGCAGCCGACTCCCCACTCTCTTCTGCACATGACCAATACATCCAAGTTTATTTGGAATGCAATCATCTCCATACGGTTTGCTCTCTGTAATAGCACTATATGTGGATGAGTCACCATCACCAAGCATGTCCTTGTAGCGTAGACCCCTTGTTAAATAGGACCTCTCAAAAATCCGCAGAGCTCCAGCTGTTCCCATACTGTTGACACTTCCAGTGTGGTTGATTTTGCAAATATGGTTGGCTTTCCAGTCTTGATATTTGGGATCATTTGCCTTCTTTTGCCACTTTTGAGACCCTTGACACCCTTGACATTTGTCTGATAAAACTTCCACGTCCAGACATTTTTTTGTGTCCAATGAGATGGCGGTTACGACACCCTTATGTGACACATGACCTCGCCTTTGCCAAGTTCCATCGAGGAAAATTCCACATTCACCTGCCTCATTATTGCAAGCCTCTTTAACAGCCATAGCATTGTTTACCATACTGTCAGTTGCCAACTGTTTAACAACAGGCAACAGCTTTTTATTTTGTATTTTTGTAAAGTTCCGGCTTGTTGGTGGTGGTGGTGGCATGTTCATTACTTTGGCAAATGTTACCACAGCTTGATGTCCTCGACCAATTTCTCTAAATGCGAAGACAGCCCTCACATTAATTTCATATGAATGTCCCTGTTTCTTTGATGTATGAAAACAGTACTTCCATTCACATTCCACACTGTTGCATTCAAGTACCATGTAGTGCGAAAAGCCATTTTTCTTTTTCATATCAACATGGCAGGTCGTTTTGTCGCCACATTCAGGGCATGCGCATCTCAGAATTTCATCGAAGACATTGAAAAGGACTCCCAAATCCATAAACACTGTGCCTTCTTTTAGTGAATCTGTGAGACCAGGATTTTCGCGAAACTTCTGACTGTTATCGCCTATTTTCATCTCAGATGGCCCAGGCTTTTCGCTGTTACATGGTCCGCCATGTTTGAATTATTTGGCTTTCTTGCACGGTGGGATTCGTGCCTTTTTTCTCTTCCTATTTTGCTCATTTCCCATATTTTATCGAAAATAACAAGCAATTTAACAGAATATAACAATATACAACGAAGAAGACTAAATTTGAGCCAAATATCCGGTAAAATTTCGAAACTCTGAAGCGATGTTTACAGCTAGTACGTGTGTTGAGAAGGTTTGTGAAAATTGCTATGAGACAGATGCTTCCATGTGTGTGTGTAGAATGAACCAATCAAATTGCAGCATGATCATAAGGGCTTAAACAACATACATCAAAAGTAGAAACTACAAATGACTCGTTAATATTGAATAATTCATGTTTTTTTTATAAAAAGGCGTTGATATGGCGTTGCTAAGGGGAGAATAGTGGACCATCTCTATTCTAAGACCGGTTTGGTGGTTTAAAACGTACAAAATACACAAAAGCAATAACAAATTCTAAATCTACAATGTTTATAATACTCAAAACACACAAAATTTTTTTTTTTAAATTGACCAAATGAAGGGATGCGACCACTTTATTCAGATACACATAAAAGTAAATTATTTCGAAGCAAATTATTTTAAAACAGCTTTCTATGTTGCAACTCGCTACAAAATTAGTGATTTATTATTGTATATATAACTACCTGACTATAGCCATTTTCAGAAATAGAGGGACTGTCGCAAGTCCATCCCTGATAGTTGTGGCGAACTCGGACAAATCACCCCCCCTCAAACACTTGTATATCGCGTCGTTGTCTTGGACTGTGTTGCTTTCAATGTGAAGCTATAAAAATTAGGCACAAATTAAATCAACTATACAGCAGTAGTAATTGAACAATATTTTACCGAGATATGTTTTATTATTAATAGTGAAAGTTGCTGTAATTGGCCAACAAATTAATCTGATATTTTACCCCTTTTCCGAGATACCAATAGTTGGCGCTTGTTGGAATCGATTGGTATCCCATGTTCTCCATGATGTACCCAATCCACTGTTGATCGGGCAATCGTTCACATCTTTGGGTGTACTCGCCCCATAGAAAATCCCGTAAATGTTTTGAGTCTTGGGCTTTTACATCTCCAAAAACATGTATCGCTGCTGAATCAGGGAGCTGCTTCAACAACGCGTCCATCAACGACTTTTGGGTGTTAAAGTCGCTGACTTTCAGGAGGACACATTTAAAATGAAAGAATTAGATAACCATTTGTAACTAGAGTTAATAAAGACAAGCTTGTTCTGGAAATCTCTCAAGAAGAGCATCCAATAAAGGAATTGATATCTGGAATAGTCTTGATATAAAATTAAAGAAGAGTATAGCAAAAAATTACTTCATAAAATTAAAAATATGACCACATCATCATGTTTTTATGAAATTTATCTACAATCTTACATTTCAATGTGCATTATTATCATTGATCAATTTTGCAAGGAAAAACAGCTTTGTTTTAAAACATCGACTTAACGTACAAGTCAATTCCAACTGCGATCCACCCCCCCCCCTGGAATTTGACTTTTCAAGAAAAATATGGTCAAATTTCCAATTGTGTGGGCAAAACCCATTCTCAAATTCCCAACGGTGCGGCCAAAAACATAGTCAAATACCCATATCTGCCTCAAACGTTTCCCATGAAAAACTCTAAAGGCTTCCTCAGGGAGGGATGCATTGTTTTCAACGCGTGCAGCTATAAGAATAACAACATTTTACACCAGCAAGGATGGTACACTATGTTCCTAATTGCAATAAAAACTTAATATTAAGAGCAAGGCCAGTATTTGGAATATATCAAACCGAGGTGTGATACAGCAAGATCAAGGTTTTGCAAAATCACCAGCTTGCCATAATAATAACCTTGCTATACATAGCTAATTTGTATTACATAGGCTAATTTGTATTACATATTTATGCCCATATGTATATATTTGTCTTGTTTTAGCATAATGTCACATCGTGTTAACTATTGGCAAGAATTTCCAACAAGAATTTAATTAAACAATATTACCTGTTCTCTAAGATACTAATAATTGTTGATTGTTGGAATGTTCTGGTATCCTAAACGTTTAGTGACGTACCCAATGCACCGAGAACCAGGGGTCATCTGGCAGTACTCTTCATGAAGATGACCCCGGAGGCGCGTCACATCCTCATTGTTGTCGAGAGAATGAAGGTAAATCGTTCCATCGCTGAACTGCAACCGCACTGTGCGTAACAGCGAGGCAGAAGAATCAAAATCGCTAGCCTTAAGGAGAATCCATCTAAAATGAAAAATTAATGAAATAGCTTTGATGTTTATATCGAATTCAATTTAGCCTTTCTTTCAAGCATCTTGCATATTAATTAAACGCAATCTCCTTCTAGTTAGAATACATATACAAGTTCTATCTCTAACAGCCGAATTCTATTGGGGGATGCAGTTGGGTCGGTCGACGTCCTCTGTGTGGGTGTCTATGAACGAGAAAAGCAAGGATCAAGCGTTCGTAAAATATTTCAAATGTCGAAATTATGTGAAATGAAAAACTCGTGTACCAAAATGGTCTTCAGAGGGCATGGCTTGTGGAAGATGTCGACTCAGGCACCTCATTTGCAAAATCACATGCTTGCCTTACTACATTGTTAGAGCTAATTTGTATTACATAGGTTCACGCACAGCAAAATTTCGAACAATTTTACTCTTAATAATGAACTGCAACCGTACCGTGCGTAACAGCGAGGCAGAAGAATCGAAGTCGCTGGTCTTGAGGAGGATCCATCTAAAATAAAAAATTAATGCAATATACTTTACTACTAATGTAACCTTGTTGATTAGAATGCCACACCAGGGAATCCCAATGTCGCATTCATGAAGCTCTTTCATCTTCATTCCGGCAGGGATTTCAAAATTGACCAGACATTCCTCGACGTTGACTTCGCAGTTATATGCTGGTTCAAGTGTTGTTGTCAGATAACGTTTTGCCAACTCCAGGTCATACGTGAGTAGCAGAGGATCATCCATCCAGCGCATCAACAGTGAATCTTTGTCGCACAAAATATCTGGAAAACTTCTCTTTCAATATTTAGATTTTTTTATTGTTTTTTCTATTTTTTTTAAATTGCTCTTTAATTAATTTTATCAAGTCCTTTAACGCGGCCTTTATTTGGTTTTTTTGGGGGGTTTTTCGGCTCTCATCCTGTTAGAAAAGAAAAGGATAATCAATCCATTTAAACATTACAGATCAAATTCTGGGGTGGTTGGCTCACTCCAACTTACAAATACACTCCGCTTACAAATTTGCTTAATAGTAAAAATATATACAGTAATAGAGTATTTACGGAATAGTGAGTTATAAGTACTATTTATAATATATAATATAAGAAATATACTATTGCTCGAATCAGGATTCGAGCCAGGACTCGAGTCAAGGACTCGATCAAGAAAATGCGAAAATACGGGGAATTGCCATTGCCCGATATAGTACATAGTTGCCAATCATTTCTATACAAGACAAAACGATGAAACAACGCGAGTTTGAAAGATCAAAAGGAGAAAGCTCGGATCACTTACCGTACTTCTTTCCGTCTTCTGGTAAATATAGAGATCCTCTTTCCACATGGCGGATACATGGCGTGCGCTTCTTTAAACTTTGTACTACGTCAGCAGACCAAAATCCTTCATAAATAAACACATTTGACAAAGCAATGAAACAACGCGAGTTTGAAAGATGAAAAGGACAAAGCTCGGATCACTTACAGTACGACTTCTTTTCCTCTGGAAAGAAAGTTTTTCGGCACCCGCAAGGTGGATAAACTGTTTGCGCTTCCCGAAAACGTTGTTCTACATTTAAATAAATAAATAAATAATATGTGGTTTATTAAAATCTTCCTTGCAGCGTAAGCTGAATTACAAAGATATTACAAAATAATTCCAAGTTGTTATATGCCAAGTATATGCTCAAACAATTGCAAATAGTTACGTTAAAACTAAGCTAAAGTTTGAGTTGAAACTCGTGATGCACTGGCAATGATAAGAAGGAAGTCTTCGGCGATCTTAGATAAAACTGGGGTTAAGGAAATTGGTCGAAGGTGTTTATTAACCTCGCTAACTGGGCTTATCTTCAGGATAGGCGTTATATTGGCCATTTTCCATGATTAACTAATATAGTTCAAAATATATAGTGGTTTATACACTACCTTGGCGCTGTCTCCGTCGCTTTATGCGGCGTGTTACGCTAACAAAAAATAGTAAAATTCACATAATGCCGGAATTTGTAATTGTAATTTGTAATTAAACCTCAACGCCTGTTCGAGCGTTTTAAATATTCTGGTCATAGGCGCCTGGGCAAGGCTCCACTTCAGTGACTTTTGGGCGGTTTTCTCCGCTTTTTGTTTAGGCGACGGCGAGCTCTCTTGCTGTTTGGCAAATAAAACAAAGAAATTTAAAAAAGTATGCTAGAGTATAAATGGTTTTTCATCCAGATATTTGCTTGCGCTTGAAAAATAATTCCAGTTATGGTTTTTTCGTGCACTTTAAAACAGGATTTTCTCTCCCAGTTTCCATGCCTCGCCAAAAACAACCAGGAAGAGGCACCCCCAGTAAACCTTCATAACGTTTCGGGATGCAGCACCAAGTAATGATGATAGTAAACCCCAAATCATGAATTTGTAAACTTTTTCTTACTTCATCGAGATGGTCTTGTTCAAAGTTGTAATATTCAGATGATGATGCTGTCACTAGATGATGCTGCCAATCGTTACACACCAATGTGAAAATTAAATAAGAAATCAGAGGTGTCGGAATGTGGCAACCAATCTTAATCCAATACTGTTAAATTAACAAAAAAAGGCAATTACTGATAAAACAAAATCTTTGTTTCATGCACCCGGAACGTTGCAGGCTTAATTAATGAAGCTGCTTGGCTAGTAATTCTTTCATAGAATAAAATGTCCAACGTAAAGTGAACGTATTTATTGAGTTACATCACAAGTACCTCATGAAACTTCACCAGATTGTTCAATCTGGGATCAGTTGCATTTAGTTTATAATTCTTAAATAGGCCATTTAAGCATTTGAGTACAACAGGGCATCCTTTACTGACTTGAAATGAATGAAAACGACTTATAGATTTTAAGCTCGAAAATCCGTCGTCGCTTTTAAGTTTTGTTGCATCCTATACTTTTCTCTTTTTTCAACCCTCTTAGATATACAATGCAAGTCTTGTCTCGAAAACGTCCCTCTATTGTTATTCATTTCAAATTCGATCCAAATCGGTCGACAAAAATTTTCCTGTATATTGTACCACCTAATTCAAAAACAAATATTTGAAGGAATTGTAACAGTGGTCCGAAATATATGTGAATGAATAATTTATTTAAACACGTTACGTCCAGGAGCATAAAGCTCGTTCAAAATACGAACGTGCATATGTCAGTAATACATCATTACAAATCGTGTTATAGCCAGGCCTCCGTAACTAACAACAAAACTGATTCGAATTTTTTAAATATAGACATAAATTATTACTATAGTTATACCAGTTACTTTTGACATACAATGCTAAAAAGAGTAATGGTACCCGCTGTTGTGTTTATCAAATATTGATTCCACTGTACATGTGGAAAGCGAAAATAACCATCAAAATTAGTAAGGAATTAAACACTAACGAGAAATATTAGAATTATTAGATCTGAGACAAGATTTCAGAGAGTCGACACCAGATGAAGATTTGATCAAGTAGGTTTTGTCGAGAATGGAGTAATTGAAATTAGAACTTGAATGAAAGAGTGATCAGGAATTAGAATACAATACATTACATTACAGATCGACACTGCACGAGGACGCATCTGAAGACAAAGGAACCATCTTCAAACTACCAAGTGTTAATAACAATTCAGTACTATCGTGTATGAACATTCTCAATCTGAGTATCCAAATTGACAAAAAAATCCATTTCAATGAATAACGTAAATATAATAAATAATGTTACGCCGTGTTATATTCTATTACAAAATAAACTTGTCACATTGCACATTGAATGGTTCAATACATTTCTTGGGATGCCCTGTAAAATAGGTAGCCTCGCAGTAGCTCGGAAGAGTGATTTTCATTGGCTCGATTTGATAATTGCTTTTGTGTTTATAACAATGAATTGCTTCGTTCTTTAGAAAACCCCATGCAATTGGAGACGACCTTGCAAGGCTTCCCTGTAAAAATCCCCAACTCTACGGGAACAAACAGCTGTAGTGTAGTAAACGTCTTTAACGAAACTACTGTCAGCAACATTTTAAACATGGCAAATGATGGTATTTAGAGTGTTGCTGACATATTAATTAAAATCCCTAGTCTCCGCTATTGATCCACCTAGAGTTCTAACTCTCCTCAATCAAAGTGGAAGTGTCTAGTTCTGCTGAACGATGTAGACAAGTTGATCTCATGCGTTGTCTGAGCAAGCCCTCTTCAAGAAAGCTGACGAATGGAAGAAAACAGCAAAAATAATGAGACACTTGATATTTCGTTCTAATTTCTGTGATTATTTACCCCCCCCCCCCCACCCCCAACCCCGCTTCCCTTCCTATACAATGTTGAAAGCAAAATGACCTGCCAAACCTTTGTATTGTGTCCAACATTGTTTGTGGGGGTGCTGAGGGGGGGGGGGGGCAATGTCTTAGTTGTCTCAGTAATTTTTGCAGAAGATTGTAGGTCGACGCTAGTCAGGTTAGGTCAGGGTTATTTCAGACGCGTAAGAGCATCTAGTCCGCAGACTTTTTTTGACACGGCCACAAAATTCAATATGGTGCCTGACAGAGAGTGGAAGTATAAGGGGCTGTTTACATGAACCGGCCGGTTAACACAGGTGCCTGGGTTAAATAACTAGACACATTAGTAAAATGCCCTCAGTGCTTGCACTTGCAATGATTTTTCCTTGCAGCAATTAAATATTGATCTTTGCAAGCAAATGCCAAGGAAAAATACTAAAATTAAAAGAAATTGCAAGGATTTGTAAAACCACTTAAACCAGTCAATTAAAATAAACTTAATATAAATAGTATACGCCAAACGAAAAAGATACATAAGAACCGGAGAATGCCATTTCTGGCGATCTAGAGACTATAAATTTCAAAATTTGTCATTCAGCGCCTTCTGCCATTTGACCACTCCATAATTATCAAACACCCTACGCCCCTGGATAAACATAAATATGTATGAGGAGCAGATACTTTCATGAAGGGAACTCTTGAAAGCTTGCCCAAATTTTCAGGTAAATAAGGCATTGTAATGACCTTTACATGACCTAGCCTATGCCAACTAGATTTCTCCACAGTGATTTCTTGTAGGGTCTATAGGCCTACCTATAACATTTGCCTCCAATTTTCCTGAATATTATTGATTTTTTCCACCGTTTTGGCAGAAAGGAAATTTTGGAGATTGACAGATTGTGAATGGATTTTCGACTGTCACGTTTTTCGAGGCCTGGTAACTAGCCGGCCGCAGGCGCCATATTTGATGTTCGTTTAATTTATTGTTGTTTTATTCAAAATATTTATAATTTTATTTCTTCACTAGCATTCTTTTAAAATAATCCTCCAATTCAGACACAGTACCAATGGAAATACCTCGCATTGAGCAGGTTTTACAAGCTATTGACGCGCTATATAACAGCGAAGGTACCGAAGGAAAAGAAGCTGCCTCAAAGTGGCTGGAAAATTTGCAGAATTCGGTAGAAAATTTGCCTCTATCGTGTCATTGTTTGTTGTTTTCTTCGTGTTTAGGTTGTGGAATTGAAGTATGTCTTGTGTGCTGGTTGAATAGTTTGGTTTCAATGCGATTATTAATGTGTCTATCTGTGTTTATCAACTGGATTTTACACAGGGTGTATAAAAAAAAAGCTGCACAGATTTGAAATTTGCTCTTAAATTCGCAAAACAGCTATTAGTATCCAGTTTTTTATGTATATAGCTTCTTTCGGTATTTATAATGTAGAAAAATGAAAAATAATTCTCCAACTCAAATTGTGTGAACCAGTGGTGTGTGTCTTTTCCAACAAATTAAAAATGGCTTGCGCACGAAATTTAAAAGTTTTAATCAAATTTAAGTAAACAGATGGAAAGTTTGTTGGGTGTTTAATTACTGTCCAAAATTTCAGACAATTTGCTTCAGTTTACACCCCTTTAACCATTCACGCAAACCTACATTTTTTCTTAAAAAATCACCATTTGCATGCTAATCAATGCCTTTGCCTAGTTTGCATATGTCAGCAATATGCAAATTAGGTAAAGGCATTAATTAAGCATGCGAAAGGCTAATTTTTTAGAGAAAAATGAATAGTTAAGGGGGTAAACTGAAGCAAATTGTCTGAAATTTTGTACAGTAATTAAAAACCCAACAAATGTTCCATCTAGCAACACAAAATATGATTAAAGCTTTTAAATTTCGTGCGCAAGCCATTTTTAATTTGTTGGAAAAGACACACACCCTCTGGGGCCGGTTGTATCAAAGGCGTTTAGCTGAAACGGTGGATAAGTCAAAATTATCAATCAAATCTATTACAAGCAAACATAACTTTTCTGTCTAAACATAACAACTATGCTTAAAACTACACATTTTGTTCATAAAATTTAAGTTTAGTTATTTACAAGATGAGTAGGAATGTTTTTAAATTTTTGCTTATCCACCGTTTGAGCTAAACGCCTTTGATACAACCGGCCCCTGGTTTACAAAATTTGAGTTCCAGAATTTTTTTCCATTTTTCTACATTATTCGTACTCGAAGAAGCTATATACATCAAAAACTGGATACTAATAGCTGTTTTGCGAATTTAAAAGCAATTTCAAATCTGTGCAGTTTCTTTTTATACACCCTGTATATATTTAATATTTCTTTGCCAGCATTGCATATCTAACACAGTAAAGCATTTATACATCGACTTATAAACAGCAATCTTTATAGGAAATACAACTACCTGCCGACCAAAATAAACAGAACTTGAACGTTTTGAACAAAGATGCTTTGTCGAGAAGTTAGTAGCTAAGCTTCCTATAAAGATTGCAATTTATTCTTTTCCTTCCTATGCAAGGGCGCAAATTAATGGCTCGAGGGTCACTGGTTAAGGTTACCGGCCAACCAAATTTTAACTGAGACATACCTAATTTCTGGCCGGTCAGAGTATTCAGCTCAAAGCAAAGCCTAATAAAGTATACCCCTAAAAATGTGACTATTTCCCAGTATATAGCATTACAACTGAAAAGCCTTAATATAATCAGTAATGAAAAACTCCTCACATGGCCTGGTTATCAAATCATCATGGCGTGCAATTTTTTTGGGCCATGCCTGTCCGCGGTTGGTGATCGCGTGTAGCTCAGTTGGCAGAGCATTGGGCTGGTGTTCCAAAGGTCATAGGTTCGATTCCCACCGTGGTCAGGCATATTTTTCAAGCTTGCCCTGTGTGGATATATACCGTAAACCTCCGACTATAAGCCCTGGGCTTATATACTTTCGTAAGCGATTTTTGATGGGCTTATATACGGGTGGGCTTATACATGGACGATCTTTTGTGTTAGTAATAAACAAGTCAGACATAAACAAGTCAGTCATAAACAAGGAGTAAAGTGCATTAAGCAGCGATTACTGGGTTTATATTAATTGGGGGGGGGGGGCTTATATTCGGGGGTCTGGGTTGGCTTATATTGGGGGCTTATACGGAATGAGGTGAGCGTTAGAACATGTGGTGGGCTATAAATGGAGGAGCTCATAGGGGGGGGCTTATAGTCGGAGGTTTACAGTATACACTCTGAGTAACATCACAAGCAACATAAATGATCTAAAAAAACGCCCAGAATGCTTATTAGATTTTCAAAAACTCAATATTTAATAAGGAAAACACAAAGAAAAATCATAAGCATGTCGTATCTTTATATGTGATAGAGATTAAAGTACTACTGTAGTTAAAACATCAACAGGGGCGTTGGGGCGTTTATTAGATAAGGAGCTTGAGGCTAAAAGACGGGGGTGTTTGTTCTTGCCTACATTACTCATTATTTAATTACGGGAACCACTCAGTATTTTAAGAAAATACAAAATAACAGTAACTCCGAATAACCTTTTGATTTTTAATCGACGTTTCGACTAGTTTGTAGTCATCCTCACGATTAAGAATTATTACTCATTAGTTTCACGATTAACTTTGACAATATTTCCTAGACGTTTTGCAGAGTGAAAAAAGTAAAACTCTTCAACTTTCATAGCTGTTATACACATTTACTATATGAAATATTTTTAATTAAAAAGTCTGCTCATTTCCCCCATTACGGGAAGGGGCGTTTATTAGATAAGATGGACTTGAAGTCTAGTGCTAGTCCGCTGGTGGGTAGTGTAAATGCGTCATAATGCATGTGCACGTGGAATCTGAATCAATTGTCTGATCCACAGTATCTGATAGGACAAGATGCTGGAGGACGGCTTAGTTTGTAAACATAATACTGTCCACAATTCAGAACCTTGATGCTGTTTGAGTAACGACAACAATAGGTCCAATTGTAACACACTTTCCTGGTCACCCTGCCATCAGCAACTGTGGGGTGAGTACCATTCATCCAACCTGTGCCATAGGTTCCACAACTCCTCTAAGGTACACACGATGATGACATTTTAATCCCAGCTCCACCTCCAAATCTGTACCATCCTGAAAGACCGCCGTCACAATTGAGTTCGGGTTGTGAATATTTCTGGTTTCTGCTGCTTTCATTCAGCCATGTGTATGCAGAGCATTTATTATCTTGGGGCAGAACTAAATAGATTTGAAGAAATGAAATGGATCATTAAGAAGATAGATTTTTACTTATCCCAGCATTCCCTGCATGGCAGACGACTCGCCTTTCGAGTAATCCTTCGTGGATACAGTCTGCCCAGGACCGTAGTAGAGAGGCTGAGGTTGAGGGGGGGGGTAGTATCGCATCTGCCGACAACATTTCAGTCGCTAATTAATATTTCTTTTCCCAAAGTTGTTGGCGAGCGGGGGGCGGAGGAGGTAAAAAATCTTCCAGTACCGTAATTTGGTATTTTTTGGTAACATTTATCAAATTATTTTCTATAACTATTACTTTTTAGTCAGAGCCACTCAAATATTTTCGCTGACTACGAAACACAAATCTGCCGATAAATCTATTATTTTGCCGACAAGACGTTTTCAGGGGTGTCACCCCCCCCCCTATAACAACGGCCCTGCGTCTACCATTCAGATTTCGGAGTGTTTGTACTCTCTAATATAGTGCAAATTACCGAACGAATCATTACAAATCATGAATTCAAACGAAATTACCAATATATAATTCGATTTTCGAAATACTAAAATATGAAGATATTTAATTTTAAATGTGCGTTGCACTTACCAGTTGTAGGAATACCAGGCGTCGTAGTCATTTCTTTCTTAGTTGTAGGAATACCAGGCGTTGTTGTAATTTCTTTCTTAGTTGTTGGAATACCAGGCGTTGTTGTCATTTCTTTCTCAGTTGTAGGAATACCAGGCGTTGTTGTCATTTCTTTCTTAGTTGTAGGAATACCAGGCGTTGTTGTCATTTCTTTCTTAGTTGTAGGAATACCAGGCGTTGCAGTAATTTCTTTCTTAGTTGTAGGAATACCAGGCGTTGTTGTAACTTCTTTCTTAGTTGTAGGAATACCAGGCGTTGTAGTCATATACCTTTCTCAGTTGTAGGAATACCAGGCGTTGTTGTCATTTCTTTCTTAGTTGTAGGAATACCAGGCGTTGTTGTCATTTCTTTCTTAGTTGTAGGAATACCAGGCGTTGCAGTAATTTCTTTCTTAGTTGTAGGAATACCAGGCGTTGTTGTAACTTCTTTCTTAGTTGTAGGAATACCAGGCGTTGTAGTCATATACCTTTCTCAGTTGTAGGAATACCAGGCGTTGTTGTCATTTCTTTCTTAGTTGTAGGAATACCAGGCGTTGTTGTCATTTCTTTCTTAGTTGTAGGAATACCAGGCGTTGCAGTAATTTCTTTCTTAGTTGTAGGAATACCAGGCGTTGTTGTAACTTCTTTCTTAGTTGTAGGAATACCAGGCGTTGTAGTCATATACCTTTCTCAGTTGTAGGAATACCAGGCGTTGTTGTCATTTCTTTCTTAGTTGTAGGAATACCAGGCGTTGTTGTCATTTCTTTCTTAGTTGTAGGAATACCAGGCGTTGTAGTCATTTCTTTCTTAGTTGTAGGAATACAAGGCGTTGCAGTCATTTCTTTCTTAGATGTAGGAATACCAGGGGTTGTTGTGATTTCTTTCTTAGTTGTAGGAATACCAGGCGTTGCAGTCATTTCTTTCTTAGTTGTAGGAATACCAGGCGTTGTAGTCATTTGTTTCTCAGTTGTAGAAATACCAGGCGTTGTAGTCATTTCTTTCTCAGTTGTAGGAATACCAGGCGTTGTCGTCATTTCTTTCTCAGTTGTAGGAATACCAGGCGTTGTAGTCATTTCTTTCTTAGTTATAGTACTGTAGTGTTTCTATAGTTAAAATACATTAAAAAACTCGTTAATATTTCTTATGGAAACGACAAAGGAAATTACTACCATTCATTGGTGGTTTTATATGTGATAAAAAATAATGTTAATTTGATTTTCTCGGCTCTTACAGCTTAAGACGCTCGCAAAAACACTGCTTTATCAGATATAAAACACTCGAGCTGCGCTCTCGTATATCTGATAAAGCACTCCTGCTCGTGTTTTAAATAGTACGTAAAAGTATCTGAGGCTGGTTCGTATAAAGGAGATCAAGTTGCTACTAGATATACAGCAACCCTTAGGTTAGGTAATGTTTAGGTTAGCTGTTAACAGTAACTCTTTTGTATCAAACCAACAATATACAAGTTTTGTATATTTGGTAATACTTAGTGACGCATTAAATACATCATGTTGGTTGCACGGCTTTATTGAAAAAATCTGGAAAGGAATCACGCTATTGTTTCAAGAGTTATCACACATAATTTAAGTATACATATATACGTACCAATTTTTTTGTAACATCGATGAAAAACACCCAGCCTTGATCATCATGATTTGCCATGTTGTTCTTGCCAGTAGTGTTGCTGAGTTGGCAGTTTACTGATGGACTGTTTGTACCAAATTTGTATTTAAATCCAGCACATGTTGGCTCATTACCACAGTTAAATGAACACTCGATTTCAGAAGGGACACTGTGGTTGGATATAATATCTTTCCATGCCAAAGCTGGAACTATTAAAATAATTATATCAGTAAGTCAGTTATTGAACAAGCCATGCATCACCCAAATGATTCAGCCATTCAACGAGTATAAACCATCAATTACACAACATCTCGTCAAAC